GAACCACAGGAATGGCCCTGCATGGGTAAGAGACATAGTTGACGAGAGGTCAGATCAGTGACATATAAAGTTCGGATAGGTGCGACAGTCCTGGACAAGCAGGTGGACCATATGAAAGCTCCAAACTTGCAAACAGGGTGGGAGAAAAACATGCCCGGCTCCTCAACTGTCTTTCTGACTGTTCCAGAATCCATGGGTTCTCCCTTCTCTGTCAAGCATTGAAGATACATTGGAATTTGAGATGGATATGGCAGACGGTGCCACCTTGATGCCTTTACCATTTGAAAGAGAGGATGATTTTCTTCTGAGATGCTCCGGACACAAGAGGTGAGCTGTTGTGCATTACCTGCAGCCTGTATCAGAGGCAGAGTGGGAACCTGACCCGATGCTAAAATGCCCCAGGAAGAGCTACAAATAAAAAAGAACCAGCCAACGTCCTCGGACTCAGAGTGGCAGGGATACAGTGACTGTAATAAGATCAGCCAAGTGGCCCTCACAGAATATGATGTCCCTGATTGGACCAGGTTAATAGCCCCAATCAGGGAGCCCTGGCTGACAGATATAAACAGGAATGTGAGAAGTTCCTTTCATTCTGAGAGCTGGATCAGTGTCAGGGACTCACTACATGTAAATTAAGGGTGACTTGGTGATGGGATACTGGGCTCTGTGGAGTTATTTCACAGCCAGGTTCATTCCCCAATGCAAGTACAGCCACCTCCATAGCTGGGCTAACTATATATTGTTTCAAGAAACTCTCCTGGAGGCACTGAACAAATTCTGCCCCATCTGAGCCCTGGCTCTAAGGGAGTCCCAGTCAATATTGGTGAAGTTAAAAATCACCCACTACAACAAGCCTGTTTTTACATCTTTCCATGATCTGCTTAAAGATCTGTTCCTCTATCTCCCGCTGGCTATTGGGAAGCCTAGAGTATAATCCTATCACTGTGACTGTGCCTTTTCCACCTCTAACTAAACGCTGGAACTTTGAACTGCTGGTCCTGCCCTTCTCTTGGCCAAGTTTCTGTAAGAACATTAGGGTGATGAGTCTTTTGAATTCTCTACCTAAGAAGCTGTGAGATGTTTGATAGTGCGTATATTCAAAACCGAGATCAAGACAGCCACGGGTGAAGTTCTGGAAGACTGGAGGTTGGCTAATGTGATGCCATTATTTAAAAAAATGCTAAAAAGGAAAAGCCAGGGACAGCTGAGCCTGACATCACTGGTGGTTAAGTTGTTGGAAGGGATTCTAAGGGATAGGATTTGCATGCATTTGGAAAGGCAAGGACTGATTAGGGAATCGTCTTTGTGCGTGGGAAATTGTGTCTCGTTAACTTGATTGAGTCTTTTTGAAGAGGTAACATAAAAGATTGAAGAAGGCAGAACGGTAGACGTTGTCTATATGGATTTCAACAAAGTGTTTAACAATCATGGTAGACTGGTTAGTAAGGTTAGAGTACATGGGATCTAGGGAGAGCTAGCCAGTTGGATACTAAAATTGACTTGAAGGTAGGATACAGAGGGTGGTAGTAGAGGATTGCTTTTCAGACTGGAGGCCTATGACCAACAGTGTTCTATGGAGATTGATACTGGGTCCACTTTTGTTTGTCATTTATCCAAATGATTTGGATGTGAATACAGGAGGCATGGTTAGTAAGTTTGCAAATGACAGCAAAATTGGAGGTGTAGTGAACAGTGAAGAAGGTTACCTCAGAGTACAACAGGACCTTGACCACATGCGCCAATGAGCCAAGGAGTAGCAGGTGGAGTTTAATTTAGATAAATGTGAGGTGTTGCATTTTGGCAAGGCAAACCAGGGCAGAACTTATACAGTTGAGGGTAAGGCCTTGGGAAGTGTTGCTGAACAAAGAGACCTAGGGGTGCAGGTGCATAGTTCCTCGAAAGTGGAGTCACAGGTGGACAGGGTGGTGAAGAAAGTGTTCATTGGGCAGAACTTTGAGGTGGGAGGTCATGTTGCGGCTGGACAGGACATTGGTGAGGCCACTTTTTGAATACTGCATTCAATTCTGGTCTCTCTTCTATAGGGAAAATGTTTTGAAACTTGAGAGGGTGCAGAAAAGATTTACAAGGATGTTGCTGGGACTGGAGGGTTTGAGTTATAGGAAGAGGCTCAATATGCTGGGGCTTTTTTCCCCTGGAGCGTTGGAGGCTGAGAGGTGACCATATAGAGGTTTAGAAAATCCTGATGGGCACGGATAGGGTGAATAGCCAAGGTCTTTTTCCCAGGGTAGGGGAGCCCAAACCTAGACAGCATGCGTGAGAGAGGAAAGATTTAAAAAGACCTGAGGGGTACGTGTATGAGCTGCCACAGGAAGTGGTAGAGGCTGATACAATTACAACATTTAAAAGGCATCTGCATTGGTAAATGAATGGCAAGGGTATACAGGGATGTGGGCCAAAGGCTGGCAAATGGGACGAAGTCAGATTAGGATGCCTGGTCAGCACAGACGAGTTGGATCAAAGTATTTGTTTCCATGCCGTACAAATCTTTGACGCCAATACGTTTTTGGGTACCAAGTGAATCAAAGAATGTGGGGTTGGAATTGTTGCAGGATGATAGGCAGGCTTGATGGGTTTTATGTTTGATTCCTGAGAGGGTGGCCTGCAGCAACTTGGAAAAGTTGTACTAACAGCCCCTCTCGAACCTGCAATTATCAGTGCTTGAATGGAGCTGGTTGTTTTCTCTCGCAACTGCTGTTCCAAGTTCTTTTCAAGCCACTGGCTGTCCTAAATTTAGAGATGCTCCTTTGAAATCAGTGGAGTAAAATCCTGGAACATGCTATCCAACTGCATTGTGGGAGGACATTCACCACGTGGACTTTGGGGTCAAGTCAGTGGCTCACCATCATCTTCTCAACAGCAACTAATAATGTCAACCCTGCCAATAATGCTCACAACCCAAGACTGAAGAATATGGAAAAACACATGGCAAATAGAAAGCAGGAATGAAAGGCAATTTCTTTGCTCATCAATTTTTGTTCACATTGTACCAATGACAGCCCTGAGCATTTCAAAGTCAGGCACGGCATGTGGCATATAACAGAAAGACCCACATTAACCTGACAATGCATCTATGCAAGAAAAGGAACAGTTTAAAAGTTACTTGCCGCTTGATAAGCAAGACCTTGCTTGAACTCACTGAGATTAAGTTTTTACTCGTCAAAAATCGTTACTCAGGGCTCTTAACAGAGAAAATGAATCTTCTGAAGGCACAAATACGGTTCTGAAGTCATACAGTCATCCAGCCCATCATGTTGTTTGCTGGCTCTCTCCATGAATTACTCATTTAGTTCCAGTCCCTCATCTATTCCTGAAGCCCTGTATTTCTTTTCACTTTCAAGGTTATGTAATTCTCTTTGAAAACTATGATTGAACCTGCCCCCACTCCAAGTTATTCATGATGTAAAATGAGGAGAAGCTTCATAAAGGACTCAAAAACTGTAATAAACTTTTCAGAATAAAATGCAGCAAAAAAACATCAGCAAATACTAAAGCAGAGATTAAACAATGGACAATACAGCACTAACAAGTTGCGTTTTTTTTAGTTTAACAACGCTATAGGTTACCACATCTCTAGTTTATCATGAAGATATCCCTAGTCCTGTGATTTGATACAAAAGTTTAGAAGTCAGACATATAATGAAGCAAAACGATCCTGAGACGATATCATCTAAATTTGGGACTGTAATTTTTTTTCAATTTTACGTCAGCCACCACCTGCAAGTTCCATTCCTATATTGAAATATATATTCCTTCACTGTCACTGGGTCAAAATCCCCGAGTTCCCTTCCGAACAGCATTGTGGGTATACCAATAATACACAGACTGCAACAGTTCAAGAAGACAGCTCACCACTATCTTTAATTTTTTTTATTATTCACTCATGGAATGTGGGCATCGCTGGCAGGGCCAGCATTTTTTTGACCATCCCTAGTTGCCCTTGAAAAGGTGGTGGTGAGGTGCCTTCTTGAACCATTGCAGTCCATGTGCTGTAGGCAAGCCCAAAATGCTATCAGATAGGTAATTCCGGGATTTTGACCCAAAGCTTGAAGGAACACAGATATATTTCCTAGTCTGCGTGCTATGTGGTTTGGAGGTGAAATTGCAGGGGGTGGTGATCCCATGTAACTGTTGCCCCTGTAATTTTCAATGGGAGTGATCATGGGTTTGGAAAGTGCTGTTGAAGAAGCCTTGGTAATTTCTACAGTGTATCTTATATAGATGGTATACATTGTTGCTACTAAGTGTGAGTGGTAGAGGGATTGAATGATTGTGGATGTGTTGCCAATTAAGTAGATGGTGTCAAGCTTCTTGATTGTTAGAATTGCACACATCCACACATGGAGAATATTTCATCGCACTCCTGATTGCTGCCTTGTAATTAATGGACAAGATTTGGGGAAATCAGGAAGGGAGTTACTCGCTACAGGATTCCCAGCTTCTGACCTGCTCTTCAATCTGCAGTAATTTTATGACTAGCTTGACAAATGGTGACCCCAAGATAGCGATAGTGGGGGAATCTAGTGATGGTAATACCAATGCCATTGAACGACAAGGGATAGTGTTTAGATTCTCTCTTGCTGGAGGTGGTCATTGCCTGGCACGTGTGTGACGTGAACGATACTTACCACTTGTCAGTTCAAACCTGGATATCGTCCAGGTCCTGATGCGTTTAGAGATAGACTGCTTTAGTTTCCGAGGAGAAACGAATGGTGCTGAACATTGTGCAATCATCAGCGAACATCTCCATTTCTGACCTTATGATAGAGGGAAGGTCATCAATGAAGCAGCTGAAGATGGTTGTGCCATTTTGTCACAGGAACAATGACAATGACAGACAAGCAGTTAATGGTTACCTTGCCAGCAAAATACACAGGAATTCCTACATTACTGCAAATAGGTGAGCAATGGAGTCATTAAATCGGGGTGTGGGAGGAAGGATTAATGGAATAAAGAGAGGACGTGATGGTTAAAAACCGCACCTGGTCTGCAGACAAGGTGTCCTTGGACATACGCCGAAGCTTCGACTCCAAGGCCACGATTTTCCCTTCTTTCCTGACAATCTGAATTTGGAGCTCATCATTTTTCTCCTCTAGTTCCCGGATCTGTTTGCGATATTTATCTTTGTCAATCAGGCATTGTGAGAACTGCGTCTGGGCTTCATCTCGGGATCGGAATGCCTGGAAGAAGTGCAATGATTAGAATGTGTGAAATACATACACCATGCACACTGCACGCCACAATGCATTTACTGGCTTTTGAAGCTAATAAGAGCTTTCAGGCAAAGTAATAAAAGGCTCTTTATGAAAGAGCTGTGATACGTGAAAAGGAATGTAGGTTTAATCTGTTAGAAATTATTATCTTCAAACCCGTAGCGCATGTGTGAATGAGGAAGGTTACAGTATAATGAGGAGCAGAGAGAATATTCTAAAATACCTTGGCTATAAAAGTTAGTCATTATACTGTAATAAAATGTAATAGATTTTTGAGTCGCAAGGTTTTTTTTATTACATTTTTTCTCTTCTCTACATTTTCCTTTTTCTCTTCCATTATATTCAAATAGCTATTTTTTTTCTGGGTCTGGATAGTAGGCATTTCTACCATTACAGCTGCACCCCAGCTTGTCCCATGATGGGACTGAGGACAAAATATTCCTGACCCACGAACGTGGACTCAAATGGCAACGTCCTCATCTCACCTAAATTGAATTAACTCAACAGGCAGTTGGTTTGAATGTAGAATTGTACAGTTTAATGCCTTTCTAGGACAATTAAAGCTTTCAAAACTGAGCCCAATAGATTTTTATTAGTCAAGAGTATCAGTGAAAATGGAGCAAAGACAGGTGAATGCAATTCTGATCAAGACCGATCGGCAGAGAAGGCTCAGGGGGGCTGAATGAACAACTCCTTACAGGTTCCTGTGCTATCAAGCGCATTCACCCATTTACATATTAGTGTTTAAAGGTAGAGAGCTTTGTGAAATCTGTCAGTTAAAAAGTACTAATTTATTTAAATTGTCATTGGGAAAAATTACGCCTGTAACCTTTTAGGTAATGACCTCATATTGATTACACATTAGCTCATGTTGAAGTTCACTAAAGGTTATCCAGAACTAGCTCCATTAACATCCCTGGCATTTTGCCTTCAGTCAGCATTAACTTCCACTAACTCAGTAGCCTCGGGTCAGTAACCAAACTTGTATGAAGCAGCAAGTCTGAGTAAATCAATACAGCTACTTGGGGAGACATTCCGGTTACAGTTTTAAGTTATGTCATTGAAGCATTTTGTTGGGCTCGAGAAGACTCAATGACAGATCCCTTCAGGGATGATGATACTCTTGGTGCAATTAAAGCAAATTCCAGCTATCAGATGGGTTTGCTCGAGTATCTTCATTTAATTAAGCCACATTGATCTAGGTCTTGGCTCCTGTTGTACCACAAGTTTCCTACATTACAGCGTTGTCTGCACTCAATGGCATTGTGGAAATTCAAGTTCTTTCTTTTATCTCTTAAAAGAAGTTATGAGAGCCAGGAGAGGAAGACAAGCTAAAGAATGCAGACTTTCTTTAATCTTCCTCAGCTGCACTAATCAAAAATCACACGAAGAAAAGATTTGTACTGCCCTTACCGGGCTTTGCATGTATATATCTAATTGACGACATGAGCAATTTACTGGTGGCAGTTAATAGCTAAAAGCAAAAAAAAAGTCTGTGATTTGGTGAGAGTAAAAAAAAACCATCAGGTGTGTGTAAGAGCACTTTAGGATAAAAGAAAAAAGTACACAAAAAAAAAAAAGCAGACAATTACAGACGTATTGATGAGGTCTCAAATTTTCTATAGACAAAAGGAGGGCATGGAACAGAATTCAATGATGGTGGTGGAAGGAAAATGGTGGTAGTGGACTAAACTTGAGTCTTTTACATATCTCACCTCATTTCTAGATCTACCACCACTGGTTTTGCATCCTATCCAATTTTTATAAGATCCCAAAGTGTTTGACATTGTTCAATGCATTTTTATCTTCTCTTTACAGAAAAAGGCCATTTTCAACAAAGGACAAAGTGCACAGGGTATCAGCAAGCCAAACTTTTTGCCACTTCAAAGGATATTGAGGTCATTGACTGGCATTCTGAAACTACATCAGCATGTTGTAAAATGTGTCGGGATTATACTTCCGGTTTACATAATAATTTCAAACGGTTTTAATAACATAATCCAATTGGATGGAAACCACTTTGGGACAATCATGTATGCATTTCACATTTTTTTCTATTTTCACGCTTGTCATTCTGCTCAGGTGACTGGACACTCAAAGGATCAAAGGATTGTAGGTTCATAGTCAACTCCCAGAATTTGAATACAAACTATACTCTGATACTCCAAAACAGCACTGTTAAATGTACCATATTTCAGATGTGACATTAAGCCGAAGATTCTGGCACTATTTGGAGGGAGCTGAGGATTTTGAGGGGGTTTGCTATGTGTAAATTGGTTGCCGCATTTCCTCCAATACAAGAATGACTTTATTGGCTATGAAGCACTTTGGGATGTCCTAAAATTTTGAAAGTTGCTGTATTAATACATGTCTTCATTGACAACGTAGTGTTTAGACCAAAACACAGACTACAATCAGTCACTTTACTTCAAAAGGCAAACATTAGTAAACAGCTTTCAGCCAAAAGCACTATATATTACATAATCAAATTCACTATTTTCTTTAATATTTCAAAACAATAAAAAGGCTTCCTTGAGCTGTCTCTCAAAATACATTAAACATTGAAAAATGGATGTTTACTTGCATACTTTTGCAACTGATGGATTATTTGCGCTCAAAGCCAGGTAAGCAATTTATATTGAAGAAGATCCAATCCATATTGGGTGCACTTTACATCCTTTCAAAAGAAAATGAATCGAACTGTCACCCAAACCTGATCTCGCTCTTTTTCCACTTCCTCCAGCTGAAACATGATAGTGTTCATCCGATGCTTGTACATTTCACAATCTTTAACCAGCGTTGAACATTTTAACTCCAAATCCTCTTTCTCCTCCAGATACTGAAACAATGCACAAGTCACAACCAGTGATAATTCCGCTTTCAGCAGTCACGACACTTAGATTGCAAACACGAATTATTTGATACTATGGTGTGTTGCAGTCAGACAGAGTAATTAACATAAATCAGGTGAACTTCAATAGCTGGGGAAGAAAATTGCAAAGAACCAAACGCTCTGAAGAGAACAAGGTGTAGAGCTGGATGAACACAGCAGGCCAAGCAGCATCAGAGAAGCAGGAAAGCTGATGTTTCGGGCCAAGACCCTTCTTCAGAAAATTTTATCTCGGATTCTTGTTATCTCAGATTCTCCAGCATCTGCAGTTCCTACCAGCTCTGAAGAGAACAATGCACAGGTGCTTCATAGGATTGCTGGGCTTAGTGAAATTGTCTTAATAACAGCAACATGCAATGTTACCAGCCACAAAACGCATGCTTCCAGGAAGTATAAGTGGCGTAGCCACCGTCTGTGCTCGTAAATACTGAACTTGCAGTGGATCTGTTCACAGTGTTAGCACCAGTTTTATCACCAGTCTTACGATAATATTCTAAAGTGCAAGATAACTGTTGTCACCACATCCCTGTGCTCTTGTGAGACCTGAACTGTGCATTAACACATACTAGCATTGGAAAAATTCTGTCAGCAATTTCTCTGATGTCCTCCACATTCAGTGGGGGGCATAAAACTGATGCCCTTCTTGATGCCAGCTCTGTATTTTTATTCACTTATGCGATATGGGCCTGGCTGACCACCATTTATTGCCTGACCCTAGTTGCCCTTGAGAAAGTGCTGGTGAGCCACCTTCTTGAACTGCTGCAATCTACATGCTGTAGGCTTGACCCACAATGCCCTTAGGGAGGGAATTCCAGGATTTTGACCCAGTGACAGTGAAGGAATGGTGATATATTTCCAAGTCAAGATGGTGAGTGGCTTGGAAGGGAACTTGACTGTGGTGGCATCTGCTGTCCTTGTCTTTCCAGATGGAAGAAGTCGTGGGTTTGAAAGGCGCTGTCTAAGGATCTTAGGCGAATTTCTGCAGTGCATCTTGCAAATAGTACACACTGTTGCTACAGAGCATTGGTGGTGGAGAGAATGGATGTATGTGTATACAGTGCCAATCAAGCCAGCAGTTTTGTTCTGGATAGTGTCAAGTTCCTCGATTAATTGGAGTTGCAAGAGGAGAGTATTCCATCACACTCCTGGCTTGTAAATGATGGACAGGCTTTGGGAGTCAGGAAGTGTGTTACCTGCTGCACTATTCATAGCCTCTGTCCTGCTTTTATGGCTGTTATGTTTATGTGGTAAGTCCAGTTGAGTTTCTGGTCAATGGTAATCCCTAGTTTGCTGATAGTGGGGAATTCAGTGATGATAATATCATTACATGTCAAGGACCGATGGTTAGATGGTGTCTTAAATGAGATGGTCATAGCCTGGCATTTATGTATTGTGAATGTTACTTGCCTCTTGTCAACACAAGTCTGGATATTGTCCAGATCTTATTGCATTTGAACATGGACTGATTCTATACCCGAGGAGTCACAAATGGTGTTGAACATTGCACAGTCCCCACATTGAACATCCCCACTTCTCAGCTTATGATGGAGGGACGGTCATTGATGAAGATGCTGGTTGGGCCTAGGACACTACCCTGAGGAATTCCCACAGAGATGTCCTGGACCTGAGATGACTGACTTCCACACAATCATAACCATCTTCCTATATGCCAGATATGACTTCGAACAGCAGAGACTTTGCCCCCGACACCAATCGTTGTGCCCAAGCTGCTCGATGTCACACTTGGTTGAATATGGCCTTGTTGTCAAGGGTTGTCACTCTCATCTCACTTCTGGTATCTTTTGTCTGCATGCATTCAGGCGAGACTCCCGCAAAATCACCTTTGATTCTGCTGGACACAATGGCTGCAATGCGTCCCCCCCACCGAGTCCTATTTTCTTAACTCCTAAATGGCCAAGGTTGCAGGAGAGAACAAAGACACTCAAATTCTCTTTGAAATGTGGCAGCTTCGTCTTTAACAACTGGGAGGAGTTTGCCACCGATTGTTCAAAACGGTGACAAACTGACCGCTTTGAATCACAGCATTTTAATGGGGAGGCAGAGCTATGGCAGAGAAAGGAAATGAAGGAAACAATTCTCAGTTGTGTCAGTTCTTCAAATCCAAATGTCTTCCAAAGCCCTTACCTTATCTCTCAGCTCTTCCGCTTGTCTGTTCTCCTCCTGTAAATTGAAAATTTTGTTGACAAGGTCTTGTCTGTCTTCCAGAGCCTCCTGCCGATCATGCTCCAAGATGTCAAGGATTGCTTTTTCAGAATCTGGTAAGCTCCGTTTCCCAGCCTTAATAAAGAAGAGATACGATTAACAAAACTGTCATGTAACAGTTGCCGTGATCAGATCATTTCTTGCTGTATACCATGCAAACTAATGATAGCCTCCACCCCAAAGTGGTTACTCTTGGGCCTGAAAACTACCCAGACTACCTCAGATTAAGGGTAAAGTATCTCAAAAACTTCAACTGCTCCACTCTGCTGCTCTGCAATAGCAACACCAGTGGTGTTTGCCACCAACAGGATGCTGCCATCAAGCCAAAAAGATGTTCTACCTATCACACAAATGTATGAGTAATGTGGTATATATGAATTTCAGTGCAGGTGTGATGGGTTAAGTAGGCTGTAGGCCCCACTACTGGTGGGTCATACCAACCAGCATATCCCTTCAGCTGGTGACTACAAAATACTGACTTTACTTAACCAGACCTTGTTGCAAAATTCACAACAGTATCCAACATCAGCTGTAATTCTGCAAATGGAAAACATTTGCTACACGATCTGGAATGTGCAAAGAGTTACATTAACAATTAATGTAGAATTGTCAGTCAGGCTGTCAGTGTGGTGCAACAAAAAAATCCAAAGAACTACGGATGCTGGAAATCAGGAACAAAGTCAGAAATTGTTGGCAAAACTCAGCAGGTCTGTCAGCATCTCTGGACAGAAAGCAGAGTTAATGTTTCGGGTCCAGTGATCTTTCTTCAGAATACATACATGTGTAACGAAGGTTCTAACTCAACAAAATAGTTTACTGCCATTTGCTGTTTCATCTCTCAGGGCGATGCCCTGGACAAGCACAACCTGCCTGACATAAAATTAAGACAAAGCCTGGCTGTTAACTGTCAATCAATATTATTTAGTGCATTCTCCATGGCAACACCTCTATCAATCAGAGGGTACTTGCCAACTAACCAGCACTCTCAGGCAGTATGAATGTTGTTCTTTCGCCCTTGAATTGGTGAATGTGAATTGTCTGATTAGTGCAAGACAAAAAGCTTCAACAATTTATCTTTCGTCAGCAATACTCAAGTTCTATTTGACCAAATAATGAATTGTGACATTGATGAGATAGATATAACATTCCCTTGGAACTGTCCGAGTCCCAGTGCCAATTGCTATATAAACGTAAAGTCATCACAGCCCTACTGGACCAGAAGCCTGGTGGTTTAACTGGAGGGTCACCACACCTGACATGGTGGAAAGATTAAGACGGAAAGTTCTTCATGGTAACCTCAGCAGTATGGTTATTGAACCCACTCTGTTGGCAACACTCTACATCACAACCCAGCCATCCAACCAACTGAGCTAACCCATCCTCCCTCTCGCATCCTTGACCTGACACAATCTGTCCATCTTCTCTCCCACCTATCTGCCCCACCCTTCCCACTGACCAATCCCAACCACCCCCTACCTGTATCCACCTGTCACCATCCCACCGACCTTCCCCCCCACTCCTCCCTCTATTTATTTCCCAGCTCCTTTCCCCCTCCCCAGTTCTGAAGGGTCCTGACCCAAAATGTTAACTTTCCTGTTCCTCCAACTGCTGCCTGGCCTGCTGAGTTCCTCCAGCTCCACACTGTGTTATCTCAGACTCCAGCATCTGCACTTCTTGGTATCTTCGAGCATTAGCAGTTTGTCTGATTTTGGGATGTTAGAATTTACGTTATATCTATTATGGCCTAGTCTTAACATTTTTTTTGTTAATAATCTTTGATTGTTTATTTTTACCAGGTTTTACTGGAGTTAACTTGTTTTTGCCTTGTTGGCTGACTAAAGTAACCTGGCTGAACTGTTTCTGGTTCAGACACAGTCTAAAAGCTATCTAAATGGCCATACCAGCATTCCAGCTAATCCTGAAAAATTGCTATGCCCATGTAGGAGTGAGACTCAACAGAAATTGTTGCATCTTGCCAATTTTGTTCGTTTCAACATGGATATTTCAATCACAATTCCTTTCTGAGAACATCAGGTCTGTCTGATGGTAGCTGCATTCGTTGCATATTGTTCTCAGTCACGTGTTCAAACCCTCCTTAGCTTGATACGGGAATATAATCTAGAAAATCTTCTCAATTTTCTTATTTAGTTTTGACCTAGTTCATTAACTATAGTACGAGAAATCAAATAAGCAGATACTCTTCTTTATCTCTTTCATATTTCCATTGTCTTGCCAGTGACAGATTGTTGGCATTAGCTCCAGTAATCCTCCAAGTATTAAATTAATCCTTGTCACAAAATAATAGTGGCACTGCGCTAACATTAGTCTGCTCAGTTATTACAGACATTACTGGCCTTAAGCTGATTATAATAGGTCAACCATAAAAGAAGATGGCATGAAGACCCTCTAGACCAGTTTAAGACAAGAAAATGCATCCTGCAGCAGTTTATATTGTTCCATGTACAGAACAGTGAAGCTGCATTGCAAATCCTGGAATGGTTCCGAAACTGTGATTGAATGACATGGTTCAAGAAACAGTCAAACTGCTCGAGTTTTTCTCTCATGGTTTATGATATCAACTGAACCTTGTAGTGACATTATCATCTAATTACATCAGGTATTCAAAATTCCTTCTGTAGTTCACTCCATGTGGTCTTGGACTATTTGTTTAGCCCAGGTTATCAACTAGCTTACTAAAATTTTTTGGAGACATAGAATAATGCACTGTCCCACTAAATGTCTCTTGTCCTGGATAAGATGTTGGAACCTCTGTGGAAAACGTATGACAAAACAGCTGCAAGACATTTTGTATTAACATTCTGAAACATGCAGTTACCAGATTATCGTGGATAAGTGCATCAGACACAGGCAAATTAATTCCACATAAATGGATATAAATCAGTGAGTGATTAGTGAAATATCCAGAAACATCAACTGGAAAATCTAAACGTCAGATTTCTGACAGGTTTTCAAACTTTTACATAAAACTCACTTTCTTTCAGTATTGTGCAAGTGTCATCACTTGTTACATTCAGCAAAAGATAACCGCACTGATCTGAACATGGCTCACCATTGGGTTTCATCAAATAAAAATATTCCATACTAGCAATGATATAAATAATATGTTTAATGCAGATCTTCAGTTGTGGGTAACATACTTGTCTCCGATTCAGGAGTTGTGAATTTCTACTGATCAAGATTACCTACTCATTGTTACATTGCTATTTGTGAGAGCTTGCTGTGTGTAAATTGGCTACTACGTTTTCTAGTTCATAACAGTAACTACTTCATTAAAATACTTCATTGGCTATAAAGTGCTTTGGTAAGTTTTAAGGTTGAGAGACCTATAAAAATGCAAGTCTTTGTTCTTTTCTGCATGTTTTTCTGGATAGGTCTTGATGCAGCATCTAGACTCAACATAATTCAGCAGTCACACCAATAAAATTTGAATTGTGTGTACTTAAAACAGAGGGTGTTATACTCAGGTGCCAATTAATCCTAAATGTCTGCAAAGAAGATATCTCTGCACTGTCAGTGTTGTCCAACTCACTTTTATGGTGCTGTTTCACGTTGATTAGTAGCAACCGAGTTATGGATTTTAATTGAACTTCCTCCTCTGTAACATCATGAAGTTCCAGTCCAGTGACTCAATGAAGCAGGAATGTTGTTCATGTCAGTGGAACGAAACTTCATGTTGGCACATCGGGGTGTTCTGAGGATAAAGTATTAAAATAAAAAGTATATTAAGGAGATAGCTCAAAAACAAAACAGAGTAGCTCTCAATATTTCAAGGCTTCCTTAATGATGATTACAGAAGGCTGCTAATTAATTTTACAGATAGGATTTCTTTATGTAATGCATAGCTAATGAGCAAGTATTAATAGTTATTTGGCTCGGAGTTTACTTCAAATAAATTAACACTAAACTCTCTTTAATTATTAAGGAGAGTTGAACAGATGTGATCTCACTATAAATGATAATAGTCTAACAAGTTCATTAGAATCTTGTTAGTATCATCCCAGGACTAGAACTGATCTTGCTCTGTGTACACTATCTCCAGATCTAAAAGACCAGTCCAAAATTGTTTAAAAACCAAATTAAGAACTATGTAATGAAAATAGAGATGCTGGGCGAGGCAATGTACTGTAACTGCATGACTTGGGAGCTGGTGAACCCCATTACCTGGGCACTGTGTTTCAGGAGGAAGTCAGAGCCCTTAGATTAACCACCTTGAATTCAGTCAGAGGTCAGGGACAGGCGGGTGTGATTACGAGTGAGGGATTCAGGAGGTGGCGGTGAAGGAGCCTCAGCCCTTGAGCTTGTTTAACAGGTTTGAGATTGTTGGTCCCTGTGTGGATGAGAAAGTGGGCTGAAGGAAGGATGAGCAAACTGACCATAGCACCATGGAAAAGGGGCAGAAAAGAGCAATGTAGTAACAATTGGGGATAGAATAGTCAGGGGAATACACACTGTTCTCTGTGCTCAGGATTGAGATTCCTGAAGGCTGTGTTGCCTGCCTGGTGCCTGGGTTCAGGGCATCTCATCTAGACTGCAGAGGAACTTGGATTGGGAGGGGGAAGATCCAGTTGTGGTCCACATAGGGGCCAATGATACAGGTAGAAAGAGGAAAGAGGATCTGGTGAAGAAATGTGAAAAGTGTCGGGCTAAATTAAAATGCTGAACCAAAAAAAGGTGATAAACTCCAGATTACTACCGGAACCACAAGCAAATTGGCACAGGGTCAACAAGATTATAAAGATAAACATGTGGCTCAGAGATTGGTGCAGAAGAAACAGGTTCAAGTTCATGGGACATTGGCACTAGTACTGAGGAAGGAGAGAGCTGTTCCGATGGGATGGTCTCCACCTGAATCATGCTGGGACCAGAGTCCTGGTGAATCACATAGCTAAGACTGTGGATAGGGCTTTAAATGAAATGGGGTGGTTGGCAAAGTGGGGGGAAATGGGGTGGTTGGCAAGGTGGGTGGGGGGGTGGGGGGAATGTTGGGGGTTGGTAGGTTCAGTTGTAGAAAATTATGGAAAAAGTTAAAGTGGGGATGGCTCAGCAGAGAGTAA